TCACAAGGTAGTTCCCTGATGGGGCTATCCAACACCGTTTGCTGCTTGTCGCTATGTTGCGTGGTTCTCGAAATCTTAGGGGGGGGGCAAATTGCCCTCCCCCCAGCAGGGCGCGTTGGTCGGCAGACCCCAGCGGGGCGCGGGTTAACAAATGACTACTTACTACTATGCGTTTCAGACCCTCTGGAACAGTCCTTTTTGGCTCTTTCTCGTTACTTATGCGCTTGATTTCAACCAAACTTTGACACAATGAGTTTCAAGGCCCTACCTAATTTTTACTAATATGGTCTTTTAACAAAATGTCAAAATGAAAGGCATTTGTCATTGACTTGTAACGGTAAAGATTGATCGGAAAACTCTGCGCCGTGGTAGAGGCTAGCATGGCGTAGCAGCGTCAGCTGTTGCGCCGCAGCTAAGCTCCGCCCACTGCGCCGCGACACCGAGACCGGTCATTCGCCGCTCGGGGTCAGAGCAGTGCGGAGCTCTGACGGATTGGAACAAGACACACGCTTACGAAGGTATCCTTGCGTGAATTTATGTCGTATTTCGCGCGGAGAGAATAAGGATGAAGAATGCAATGCATATCGGTGTGTGTATAAAACGATAAGCACTGCTTCCAGCGACATACGACCGAGATATACGACCGAGATGAGCGGATAACAGGGGACGGGTTAGCTCATAGCTCAGTATAACGCATAGTCCACATGGGCTGAGCTATGTCAAAGCTTTGTTAAATATTGCGACACATGGATAACACGTGTCCGACAAAGCGGCATCTCTGAGAGGGTGTGGCGCGGCCTCACTTCACTCGGAGTTATGATTCAGTAATAGATTTCCGATCCGGTGAGTCATAGTTAAGTCGGCCACAAGCATTTGAGTCGAGCTCCGTCTCGGCGAAGACAATGGATCAGTAAACCCACACCGGATGCAGCTTTCTCGGCCACCCCGCGGCATACAGTTCAGATGAACCCAACAGAGAACCCCCTATCCAACAGGACAGCTACACACTACCAGCGCCCGGGAACCAGCTATAACCAGATAATAGCTCGGTTCCCGTGAACAGAGCGAGGCGGAAATGCGCACTGCTGACAGGCATGTTTCCGGTCCAAATACCGGGCGCATACAGTGAGCGGCGCGCATTGAGCTCGGTTACGTCCAATCAGTGTGACTGGCGCTGTGGCTGGGCGTGTGCCGCTCACGCGAGAGCTCGTATTGTGTCGCACCGACCTCGACCGGGGTGAGATAGGCAGGGCGATAGGCAGGTAGGGTAGGCAGAGCGGGCGGGGTCGGGCGCGGCAGAGCAGCGCAGTCCCACGGTCGGGGACGGGGGGGGGGGGGTCCCGGAAGGGCGGTGTCACACGGTAACTGCCAAACCCGCGCGGCGCCCTGTACCGGATCATCACGCGATGGGAATGACAAGCTGCCACTGGAATCATCCTAGTCACCGTCATCGCTCACAGCAGCGTCAGCATCAACGTCATGCGCAGTTGAAACGGTCGAAACACTGGTGACCCGTGACCGTTTCAGGGACCAGCCAGCCACTCTCTCGGTTTCCATAACGAAGCGGAGAATGAGCTCTCACCGAGTGACGGAGAGAGACCGGTCAAAACAACAGACTCCGCCGCCCAGCAGGCGCATGGTTCACCGAGTCACAGTTTCCAACAGGGTCGTAACTACTGGGTGTCGAGGCTGCATTGTTTTCGAGGGACAGCCAACGGCTCACTCGAGAGCTATAATTGCCGAGTTACAGTGAGAGAAAGCGGCGGTCGTTATTTCTTGTAACCGCACGGCGACACGTCTGTCATCAACATGTCATCGACAGCGGCGTCGGTGACAAGTGGACTGAAGCGGTCGCTGGGCGTGATGAGCACAACCGTGGCGCAAAGGAGACAAACCCAGTAAAGCGAGTCGTGTCCGTCCATGTATATGCGCTACGTTAGCCGCAGAAAAGAGACGTAGTTAACCCTATTCCTGGCGGGCTCCGCCGGGACAAGAAACTGGCGGGGGGGGCCGATTCGGCCCCCCCCCTGAGATCTCGAGAACGAAGCAAGATAGCGACAAGCGGTAAACGGCATCGGATACGCATGGACAAGGTCTACAATTTTTACTAAGGTCATTTTCAGGTCAGGTCAAAGATGACGTCACAAGGGTCGAAAAAGTCAAAATGGCGGCGCTAGATATGGAGAGAGTTTTTCTCGAATAACTTTCGAATTAGTCAAGATAGGAACAAACTAAGGGCATCATCGTGATCCTCTCGTCAATCCGCATCGAATGATATATATGTTGACCTCGAAAGGTCAAGGTCAAAGGTTGACCTCAGGTCACGTGACCTCGAGGTCATCATGTATATCATTCGATGCGTCTTGACGAGCTGAACACAATGAGACCATTCACGCGTCTGTATCTTGTTCCTGTACGGAGTTATTGGCCAAAAACCTTTGGTGACCTTTGATGACGTCACATGACCTCACAGCTGCCCAACAGCAAAACAGACCTCAAGGTAGTGAAGGTTGATCGTATATGAAGTCATGTATGGTATATGGGGCCATTCCGACCCGTTTTAGTGGTAAAAACAGGGAGTTGATTTTTCCCCCATTGACTTATAATGGGGAGGTCGCGAAACTGACCTGACCTTAGGTCACCGATATCAAAATTCCGAGATATACAAATTGCACATACTGGTACCCTAACTAAAGCCTGAAGAGAAGAAATTGATCGGTCAAAAACTCTAGCTCTGGCGTGATTGCAAACTTTTCTGAGGTAGGGTCACCAAACCGCCTCTGGTGACCTGACCTGAGGTCAGATCAACTCAAAATTTTCAGACATGTTGCGTAGAAGCCTTTTAGGAAAAGTCAGAAAATTTGAGCTTCCTAGCTCAACGCGTTTGGGAGAAATAACCAAAAAACCTCAGGGGGGGGCTCCTGAGGCCCCCCCCCCGCCAGGAATAGGGTTAAGCTCCAGAATGTTATTCCCTACAAAATTAAAAGAATCTTATTTTCAATAATTTATTGCGAGCTTCTCCGCCGTCCTGTTTTCCTACAGGCTATGGTGCATTTAAGGAGTAACGAGACAGAATCTACCGGATTGTCTTTAGGTACGCATGTGATATTCAGCGGCCTTATTTAATTGAGGATATCCACATACCTATGTACTTGCGTTTAGTTTTTTAAAATTTGAAACAATATTTTTTTTTGGGGGGGGGGGTAAAAATAGTCAATCTTTTCATAATATTTCCACAATGCTTTAAAGGTAGTGTGCCAGCTTTCTTGGACCGTATGGAGTTAATGGCCCAGATAAGGAGAACCGGATTTTTAGAACTTATCCATACCTTCAAAACTCATGGAAACGTCTTAAATTCTTCAAATTTTGAGTACCCCAGTGCGAAATTCGCCCCGACGGGTTGTCGGTCGTACCCCAACCACATTTCACACCACTATGAACAATAAATGCACACACTGAAATCGCTATTACCGATATGCTCATCCAATCAAGTTTCGATAAACCCGTTCATCATCATCTCCTGCGGTTTCGAACACGCCTGTTAGGTGGCTTCTGATGCTCGTCGAGGTCGGAATTTCCAAATACGCGTGGTGCGTCGGGCCGCGCGCTCTGACTTCGGCCAAGAAAAATGCGTCAGCTGATCATTGTCATTTCTGCCACTTGCGTGTGGTGAAATGGGGTCATAACTTATAAGACGGCTTTTTCATATCAATTATTTTACATAAAATCATATTTCAAACCATAAATAATGTTCGACAGCCAAATAAAAGAAACAATACCAATACGGGCTTACAGTTTAAGGCTCGACATTGTGTTGTCTACGATTAGACAGCTGATAACTCATTCCCGTACGTCGTATGGTCGTAACACTATAATGACCTTTGCTTATTGTCACAAGTGCGCCGCATTCGCGATTGTTGCCCGACGCCTGTTTGCAGGTGAGCCCACTACAGTTGTTATACATATCTAAAAACCGAAAAACTTTTAGGCGAAAAAGGCACTATTCCAGGCCCATTTTTGATTTTTTTTTGCGATATTAGGTAAAAACAGAAGCTTCTTATCCTAGGAAAAATAAAATGGGAAATTTTTCAAAGGTGGCACACTACCTTTAAGGATATTGCTGATAGATCTTAGGGCCGAAAAAAAAAACAATAAAACAGGGAAAGATAGGATGACTCAATCTGAAAATGCAGATATGCAATATCGAGAGTTAATGATCTCCCATCCTTCACTCCCCCTTGTCAGTCTCTCGTCTGTAATCTATATCTCCGTCACTTGTCTCTGGTCTACCATCATTGTCTGTCTTTCGTCTACAGTCTTTGTCTCCTGTCTCTGCTCTAGCGTTAATGCATATTGTTTGCTGTCCACTAGCTATTAGCCACCGTCTACCGCTCGTCTCATTGTCACTTTGTCTCCTCTTCCTTTTTCTTACTTGCTCCGTCCTTATTTGTTGTAGTAAAAGTTCATGACATGCAAACAAGTGCTCCACTCCCCTGCGCTGCGCGCGCGGCCCGCACGCCAGCCGGCCAGACGGCGACTGCCGCCGACATGACCCGAGGCTGGACCGCAAGTGGGCGGAGCCAAGCCGCAGTGCGCTAGCACGTCACGACCAATCAGAGGGGAGACAGCGCCCAGCCTGTGCCAGCCTCTAAGCAGGGCTCTGACGACCTTAACATTATCAGTCAATGACAAGTGCCTTTATTTTTTTTTTTTTTTGTTAATAGACCATATTGATAAAAATTAGGTAGGGATCTCAAACTACCATTACCAAAGTTTGGTTAAAATCAAACGCATATACAACGAGAAATAGCCGAAAAGGACTGTTCCACAGGGTCTGAAATGCATAATAGTTGAGCACTAGATGAGCAGGTTCTTGACGTCACTGACGCGTCTAACTCCACTGGTCTGTGACGTCATTTACGACAGCCACCTATCGGGAGAAGCTCGAACTACCCTAGGTGGCGCCACCTGAAGGATCATCCCGAAACACAAACCTTGGATGGCTATGGAGGCTGACATTGTTTATGTCGTACACATTTATTGTTTTCATGGTACTGCGATTATTGACCCATTTATTTTACGTATCTTGCATATTTTCCAAAACAATTCACCATATTCGTACGAGTATACAAACACCGTACCTATTCCTTGATGAAACCATTCCTGAATTACATAATTAATTTAACAATTTCTATCAAAGTTAAACAATCATAAACATTTTTAAAGGGACTATCCCACCTTCTAAAATGTTGTTAAAACCAGTTAAATTGTGCCCGACTTTATAGATTGGATGACCAGGAACACGGTTCTGGCATTTATTTTTCATTAAACATCTTAGGCTTCCCATATTCCAAACACAAACTTTCAAATATGTGACGTCACAGCCCAAAATTACCTCCTTCCCCAGGCCACATTACTGTCATAAAGCTGATTCTTTTTACTCTGTAGGCACCACAACAAAGTTCAGACCAAGTTTCAAGCGATTTTTCAACGAACAAACCCATTTAAATCAGAATGACTAAACGAGGTGACGTCACACTAACGGTCGCTCCATGTTGAAGATAGGGCCTTGTACAAGGCCCATTTTCAAATGAAGGGAACGAATTTCTTCAACACCAAGAGGCCGCGGGGGTTGCAACCCAGATAGATATAGGTTTCTGAACCTCGCCGCAAACTTGGCTATCTCAACTCAAACCCCATGTTAAAGGTGGGATAGTCCCTTTAACAATAACCGTTATCCTGAATCACCTATGCGACATTGCTCTCGTCTTTGAACGACTATCTTTGCGCTCCTTTGGAGGTCAAAGAGCGCCAAGGTGACCTTGACCTCAGAAAATGACCTTGACCTCCACAGCAATGCTCTCTATAGCACATTCGTCATTTCCACGGCGAATCCTGCAAAATAAGAAAGAAACATCGATCAGAGAGATAGGTTTGTGAGAGCAAATATCGTAAGAAAAACGAATGTAAAGCGCAGAAGCTGCACACGCTTGTGTCTTTATGCCTACATCACTCCCAACACACTTGAGAGAATCGTTATCAAAACTTGAGAAAAAAAAAACAGATAGGTTACCTTCTATACGAAGTACGAATGGTATGTGCAAAATGCTCTTTTAGTTTACGTTTGCCAGTTTACGTTTGTCCGACTATACCAAAATGGAATACCAAGGATATACTAAGGGTATGCTAAATACCATAAGTGTAAATACTAGTGATGTCAATTACGGAAAATCGGAATACCGATACCAAACCAAACACCAACCAAAACCGTGGAGAAATACCGAAACCAAACTAACTTGGGAACATGAGGAAAATACCAACTTTTTACCTAACATTAGCGAGGGTTCATGATACCAACAAAATACCAAACACATTTGGATTGAAATACCAAATACCGAGCTGGTATCGGTTTGGTATCGGTATACCAAAAAGTTGGCATCCGATTGACATCTCTAGTAAATACCATAATGATATACTAAGTGTACACTCTGATAAGGGTGTACTCTTACCTGAAGAATCCATTGCGGCCCCATTCTGTTCCCCACGAGTTTTTCACATTCCAATACTTGACGCCGTTTTCGACACCATACCCAGTAATGAGCACAACATGGTTGGTCAGTTCGAACGGATCCAGCTCCCCGCTCTGCAGACTGTCCAGGGTATAGTCGTGGTGGTAGATGCCGTCAGAGTACACCGTGAAGTCATCATAGACCTGCGAATCATACAGATATTAGCCGCTTTCACGACGGGCTACCCGGCGAGTGCACCTAATTTAACCAAATCTGCACCTAATCTCTTTTACAGCAAATATCTTTATTTTATGAATTAATTTCAGTGTTTTCATCGATGATTCTCTCTTATAATATGACAAAGCAGGCATATAAGTAATTAGTGCAACCCTAGCTGATAGCTACAATGAAACACACCGAACCTAATTTGACCAGATATGCACCTAATCTGCACCAGATCTGCACCAAATGTGTGCCAGATGGCCGTCGTGAAAACGGCCATCATCCGCTTTCACGACGGCCGTCTGGTACCTACACATTTGGTGAAGGTTAGGTGCAGATTTGGCGAGGATTTGTGTAATTGGGTTGCGTGTAATTCTTAGCGGCTTTCAGCTAGTGTTATAATAATTGCTTGTACATGTATGTTCATGCCTTGTCATAGCATCACACATTATCATATATTAAAACACTGAAGTGAATTCATTATCTGAAAATATTTGTCATAATAAGAGATTAGGTGCAGATTTGGTCAGAATTACGTGCATTTGCCCGACAGCCCGTCATGAAAACGGCTATTGTGGATGTAAGCTTCATTACTCATAAGCCTTCATGTTTTAGCCTTGAGAGATAGTTCACATTTTTCATATGTTAGGTAATCTTTAGGTAACAAACTTCCTCAGTAGTAGCGGTTGTGACCAAAGGTTTGTGTTCATTAGTTCAAAACACTATCCGTTTGATTTTTTTTTTTTTTTTTATTGAAACAAACTGAGTTCACGGACAAATTTGCATATGTAGGGTGCGTATTATTTAGGCCAGGGTTCATAATGTCCAGGGCACAATGTGTCCAGTGCTCGAATTGGCCAGTGCCTTGAATTGGCCAGTGTTCACATTGTCCAGGGATTACATGGTCCAAAAGTGGCCAACTGGCTGCAGATAGGGTAAATTCAAAGAGGCCAGGGTTCATAATGTCCAGGGCACGATGTGTCCAGTGTTCAAAATGGCCAGGGTTCATAATGTCCAGGGCACGATGTGTCCAGTGTTCGAAATGGCCAGGGTTCATAATGTCCAGGGCACGATGTGTCCAGTGTTCAAAATGGCCAGTGCCTTGAATGGGCCAGAGTTCATAGTGTCCAGGGATTACATAGTCAACCCAACCCAACCCAACCCAACCTAACCTAACCTAACCTAACCTAACCTAACCTAACCTAACCTAACCTAACCTAACCTAACCTAACCTAACCTAACCTAACCTAACCTAACCTAACCTAACCTAACCTAAGGTAATGATGTTTGCCTACCAGGGATAAGGAAATAGTTTCTCGCATGAATAGATTGCAAGCAATAGTAAATCAAATATTTTTAGGTTAAGTGGTTATGCATCAGGCTTCAGGCCTTCGGCCTGAAGCCAGATACATAACCACTTAACCTAAAAATATTTGATTTACTATTGCCTGTAATCTCTCCTAAGGCATTGCCTTCGGCACTGCACTGCTTTGCATTGAGCTGATTCCGTGTTTTTTACATAATGACGTCACTTTCAGTGACTATGTAATCCCTGGACATTATGAACTCTGGCCCATTCAAGGCACTGGCCATTTTGAACACTGGACACATCGTGCCCTGGACATTATGAACCCTGGCCATTTCGAATACTGGACACATCGTGCCCTGGACATTATGAACCCTGGCCATTTTTAACACTGGACACATCGTGCCCTGGACATTATGAACCCTGGCCTCTTTGAATATACCCTATCTGCAGCCAGTTGGCCACATTTGGACCATGCAATCCCTGGACATTATGAACTCTGGCCCATTCAAGGCACTGGCCATTTTGACACTGGGCATAGCGTACCCTGGACATTATGAACCCTGGCCAGAATGAATGCTCCCCGCATATGTAAGCACGCTTCTGCTAATTGTTACCAATAATACTACGCATAACTAAGATGTAGCCTAATATTTCAATACCATATAACCAGTATAGCGCCTTTTGGGGCGACTAACGGAGCGAGCGAGGGGGTGAGTCTTGCACGTGCGAAATTTCGAGGGGGTAACTCCAACTGACTTGTGCACGGCACCCTACTGACCGGTTTCTAGCGATGTGCCAAATTTGAGCACAATCGGCCCAGCCGTTCTCGAGATCTGGGAGCGGCACCCTGCACGTGCGCACGTGCTAAATGGGTCCCAACTGACTTGTGCACGGCACCCTACTAACCGGTCCCTAACTGTTCACCAAATTTGAGCGCAATCGGTCCAGCCGTTCTCGAGATCTGGAAACGACCCCTGCACGTGCGCACGTGCAGCAGCACCCCAACTCTGGCACATGGATATGCAGTGCCTAGTGGGTGCCTACCTACATGCCAAGTTTCAGCGCAATCGGCCAAGTAGTTACCGAGATATTGCAACAATTACAAAAGTGACACCTCTTCGTTTTGCACGTGGCACGTGCATAAGGGGTCACCCACATGCATCGGGAATAGTCCAATACTTGGTAGAAGGAATGAAGCTACCCTACAAAAATTACCGCGTGTAAATCGGTCAAGTGGTTGCTGAGATATAAGCCTCGCAAAAGCGTCCGCACGGCCGGCCGGCCGGCCGGCCGGCCGCTCATACTCAGAAATTTCCGTTATTCTACGTAAGACTCCGCTCGCTTCGCTCGCTCCGTAATTAAAGCATCACAAACACATTAAAATGAGTCGAGGTTACAGATTGCACAAAGCCGGTCTTCATATGTCCATCATCAGTTGAATGCTGTAATAAATACGAATATTTACATTGACATAGAATACATAACATAACCTCTTTCAGCACCATCCAGTTTATTTGCAACTTACCTCAAAGCTGACAGCCACGGGACCGTTGTCGATCAGCGATTGCATGATGAGGGCCTCATTACTGGCACCGTAATAGCCTGGGGGCATTAGAGGTCAGGGAAGCAGGTGTTGTTTTTAATACACCGGGCGCTGGCATGGACGCTCAGAGGTGCAGAGGGGACGCTCAGAGGTGCAACTATATCAGCAACTGCATGCTAAGTGCTTCGTTACTGGCTTCATAACTATAGCCTGGAGGCATTACGGGTCGTAGGTTGGGGTATTGTAATTGTCAGCAATAACTTAGGGCACAGGAGGACGCTCAGGGGTTTGGGTCAATGTAAGTGATATCACAAGGAGATTATATAGGTTAGATGTCAGGGGTACATGTTTTGCTGCTAATTACCAATCCTTCGAAGTATGTAGTCTACCGCAAGTCTTTATAAACCTAATACCTAGATTCATTTTGTGCATCCGTTCTCTCTTTGCGCGCTTCCATGGTGTTCTCCCTCTCGATTCCATCCTCTTCTTCTCCTCCGCGTATCAACCCCCTGCTTCGGATGGCCATTGAGGTTGGTGCCTTTGAAGCTTGCAGCAATGAGCGTTAGAAATGAATTACCAGAAATAAATGATGCTGTGAAAATTAATCAACAAAAGCTGACAAGGATTAGCTATTAAAATATTATATCACTAAAAAATTATATTTGTGTAGCGATCATGAAATACATGCCCTGCCCCTCTGGCCAATCCTGGTCAATCCTGCTCCGGGTTGTACAGACAACTACCCTATGTGGGAAGCCCGAAGCTCCCCCAGGAGTATGGCCATAATAGCTGGGTTTGGTGAGTGTCACAGGACTGATGCTGATGCTGATGATGTGGTCGGGCTGTCACCTTTGCCCTATAAACACGGGTCGGGGGGAGGGTATTAGTAGGATAAGCTTAGGATGTTGGTTAAGCCCTTTCCTCGTCACCCGCCTCTGTCACCAGTTTTCTCCTCAGCCTCCAGAGTTGGTAGGTAGAGTCATAAGTGTAACTTTATATCTCTTTGTGGGTGCTCAAGCACCCCCAATCCTGAGCTCAGCACCCCCTGCCTCCCTAAAGCACCCCCTGCTTCCTTAACCCGCGCCCTGGTGGGGGGGGGCTATTTTTTGCCCCCCCTCCAGACTTTTCGATATATCTCCAGAACCGCTTCGCCGATCGTCACCAAACTTTCAGTACCCTCCCGGACATCAATTTTACACATTGTGACCAAAAATTTATCCAAAGGCTATGATAGGTTGGCCGGAAATGACGTCAGAGTGACGTCATGTTCTGCCGTTTTCGACCCAAAAAAGGGTTTCCCGGGAAGAGCTGTCAGGCCTATAGCTTTGCAAATACAGAAAAACGATAAAGACATAAAAGCTGTAGAATTGACAGGGCTACAAAACTGCTATCTCGGAATTTTGAAATTTTTGGATTTTGACCCCCAAAAATCAAAAAATAGATTTTTTGATTATAATAGCCGAAAAATCCAAAAAGTTTTTTGAATTTCGAAAAAACCGGAATATATGTGATAGTCCTTACCGCCTTCTATCTACATACCAAATTTGAGATCGATACCTCTTTTTTTGGCCAAGTTACAGCGAAAAAACTGTTCAAAATTGATGACGTCAAATTTTCAAACTCATTTTTTTTTGCAATTCTAGACCTCGTAGCGCAAAACAAAGACCACCATTAGACTCCCCGTGATGAGCTGCATCGAATCAATACCCATTTTATGCAAAAATATCAACTTTGAAATTTGACCTTTTTTGACCTGACCTTGACCTGACCTCCACCAGAAAGTGGCCTAAGCCGTACCTGATAGTCTTATAACCAACACCATTGAGTTGGAAATGAAAAATTGGCCATAAAACATGCATCGCACAACCTTAGTACCTAAAGTTAGGTTCATGTGACCTGACCTGTGACCCTTGGTGACCTGACCTGTGACCTGGTAATGTCAGTGACCTCTTATAGCAATATATGTACTAGGCAACTGACGCCCTATCGCTGATTCTCGACAAAATGCGTTTTCTTCGGTGTTATAGCGCATTCCCTAGATGACCCGTGAACGGTGAAACATTTCATCTTTGACCTGACCTGTGACGTCATCGGTGACCCCGAGGTCAATGAAATTTGGTTTCCCTCGACAAATTTGACAGGCCTTTCGAACGCCGTTTGAATTTTGCGGATCCGTCCAGTAGTTTCGGAGATACGAGGGGGGGCAAAAAATAGCCCCCCCCACCAGGTCGCGTTATAAACAGACCCCACCAGGGCGCGGGTTAAAGCACCCCCAGCCTCCTCAAAACATTCCCAGCTGACTCAAGGCCCTCAATAATCAGTATTTTCTTATCCAGTAATCTCCAGTAATAATAATTTTCTTCTGTAATGAGCTCAGTGAATCATGCAAATACTATGCTCACTCAATTCAGTGACTAAGAGAATATACATTGAATAAATTATCACAAATTAAGATGCATGCTATTTCTATTTACATTACATCTGCTATTATGGTGCTTGGGACTAAGTAAGATCTCAAATCTAACATAAATGAAGGTTGGCAAACAATGTCAATGGCTGTAAAATTTATCGACATTCACAACACCATACTTAGTTCCTCTGTTTGGGTAAAACATACAAGGATGTATAAGCAGCCGCCAGCCTAACAATATCCAATTTTCTGTAATATTTTAAAAGTTCAGTACAACCTGGGACAATGAATCAAGTGGGACATGATGACAGAGAGATCCCATAGCTGCCCAGTGTTCGGGCGTACTGGAAAGCCTCTGCACGCCGGAAGGACGTGGAAGGGTGGTAAAAGTCCACCGACGGACCTTGTGCCAAAAATTGATTGCACAACCGAGGAATATGCACAGAAAGACAGTTCTTTACGGTGTTCGCTCTCCCGAAGGGCACATGGAACAAGCCTGTGCGGCGCTTACGCCTCCCAGGCACATTAACCCTCGCCGGCACAGGCCAATTTGCGTCCTTCGACGGCACAAGGGGGGGGGGGGGGCGTTGGTACGACCCCCCTCGCGTTTGGCCCCTCATCGAGCTAGAGCTTCGAGGAAAAAAAACGAGCGTGTTGCCCGTCACGAGAGGAAGCCGATGATATCCAATTTTAAGGTTCTAGATCATTGGCCGACCTTCCAGGTCTGGTCAATGACCCAAAAGTCGGGAAAATCGGGACCTGTTAGAAAGTCGTAAAGTGTGGCTGCTATGGGGTTTTCTGGGGTGCTGATCACGAATATCGTGTTAGTTTTGATCAGGATCACAGATGATGTCTTTAAGCATTTAGACCAGGTCGGGTCAGGTCAGGTCAGGTCAACCGGTAGGGGTCGTGCCGGGTATTCGTAATGCGTGTCAACCGCCTCTGACAGCTTCGTAGCATTTTACGAAGGCGCCAAAACTACTTCGTAAATGTTGAAATGGTTGATAAATTCGAGTTCAGCTAAAAAAACTAGCCTAGAAACATGTAAAACTCGAAAAAGTGAACCGAGGTCACCAAAGGTCAATGACCTGACCTGACCATCATGTGACCTTGACATCCACCATGCATGGGAGCAACATCAGATCACATGTTTGAACGTTTGAAACCACGAAAAGCTTGCAAACGCGCGGCTAATGCGAGCCGACATACGCCGAACCGCGATTCCGGCCAAACATGGTCTCGGAAAGTAGGTCACAACTCACAGGTCAAAGGTCATTTGGGTCAGGGTCATGAAATTTTAAGGATTGGTGTAAAATTGATCAATGCGAGGGTACTTAAAGTTTCGTCGCGATCGGTTGCTTTTTACGCGGGTTATTCGCGAAAAACCGAGGAGGGGAGGTTGAATCAACCCCCCCCCCCGTGCTGGAGCGGGCTTTGATGGACTCAGTTTTAAAGGTTTGCAGTAGACTACGATAGTCCATAGGGCAGTTCCTCTGCGTTTTAGCCCCTAGCCACATGAGAAAGCAATGCTGTAGCCGCTTCAGCCGTACCAGGTGGGACTGGGCTGCACCGCTCCAAATGACACTTCCGTATTGGAGGACGGACCTAACATGAGCATTGAACGCGAATAGTATCGCCCTGTGCTCGAGACGCGCTGGAGGTGGACAAGCTGGCATCTCCATGCTCCTCATGAGGAGCCCCAGCATCCGGCAGCAAATCTATGACTTTCGTTTATTGAAATCAATGTGCTATTTTAAAATATGTTTAATCAAATTAAATCATTTTTGAGTAAATAAATGTAAATATAGCACGGCAAGTATAGCGTTATCATCTAACCCTCGCCGGCACAGGAGGGGGGGGGGTGATGCAACTCCCCTAAGGTTTTTCGCGAATAACTCGCATAAAAAGCGGCCGATCGCGACGAAACTTTCATTACCCTTGCATTGATCAATTTTACACCTACTCTAAAAATTTCATGACCCTGACCGAAATGACCTTTGACCTGTGACCTATTTTCCGAGACCATGTTTGGCCGGAATCGCGATTCGGCGTATGTCGGCTTGCCTTAGCCGCGCTTTTGCAAGTTTTTCGTGGTTTCAAACGTTCAAACATGTGATTTGATGTTGCTCCCATGCATTAGGGTGGATGTCAAGGTCACCTGAAGATCAGGTCAGGTCATTTACCTTTGGTGACCTCGGTTCACTTTTTCAAGTTTTACATGTTTCTAGGCTAGTTTTTCGAGCTGAATTCGAATTTAGCAACCATTTGAACATTTACGAAGTAGTTTTGGTGCCTTCGTAACATGTTACGAAGCTGTCAGAGGCGGTTGACACGTACTACAAATACCCGTCACGGCCCCTACCGGTTGACCTGACCTGACCTGACCCGACCTGGTCTAAATGCTTAAAGACATCATCTGTGATCAAAACTAACACGATATTCGTGATCAGCACCCCGGAAACCCCATAGCAGCCACAGTTTACGACTTTCTAACAGGTCACGATTTTCCCGACTTTTGGGTAATTGACCTGACCTGGAAGGTCAACCGATGACCTAGGACCTTAAAATTGGGTATCATCGGCTTTCCGTAACGGGCAACACGCTCGTTTTTTTCCTCGAAGCTCTAGCTCGATCAGAGGCCAAACGCGAGGGGGGGGGTCTTACCAACCCCCCT